GGGAAACAGGAAAAGAGGGGGAGTTCCACAGGTGAGAAGTGCGAGACATGAAGCTATTGGAGTAGAATACGGCAACATTTAACAGTTTCGACAGTAAAAGGATGTGAGCGAGATGCCAGCCTAGTAGAACGATTAAATTCATGAAGTCTGGGAACCAATGAAAGCAGCTCATGGAAGTAGTTACCGTGAAATATTTGTAAAAGAGACAGAGGCAGACGACGGCAAATGGAACTGAAACCGAAATGCCAGGTCAGGACTAATGATATTGCAGATGCTTCTTTGGATTTTATAATGTATTCTCTAAATACATAGCAGTACGACCAGCCCATTCCACTTCTTTTCAGCGGGAATGTTAGCATAAGAATGCGCAACGTGTCCCTATCCTGGAGATGTGTATGCTGACGAAAGAATATACAGGTTGTCCATAGAGTTCGTGTGCACTTTAAAGAATTTATAACTTTATTTGTATTTGCGATAGAAATAATCTGTAAAAAATGTTATAAAGTTTAATGTACCTAGTTTTAAGTATAGCTAAAATAACTAATGTGATTTCAGGCATTACTGTAAATCAGTTGTCAAATGTTTTCCGTGAACTGCAAAATCGTATTACCCTTTGTATTGCTAATGATGGAGGACATGTGGAAACTTAAATAAAATTTTAATAAAACTTTAAAAAATATAGATTTACTTCTTTCTAATTCTTTTTTACAAATTATTTCTATCGCAAATACAAATAAAGTTAGAATTTTTTAAATGTGCACATGATCTTTATGGACACCCTATATATATATATATATATATATATATATATATACGTTTCATTAAATAATATAAACAAGTATTGTCTATTTATTTTAATTTTATGTAAATTCTTTTCATAACGTCTCATAAGTTTAATAACATTATCATTAAACGAAGAAAAAAAATCACAATATTAATACATATTTTTTAATCTAAACTAAGCTTTCGGCTTACATAAGCCATTATCAAAGATGACAATTACATTACAATATATTCAGCAATACACGGACAAGAATGTGATGATAGTCTGTTTCTGTTTACATGGATGATTTCCAAGCAACGATAATCACGTGCATATAAGACGCTGGAAACGAAAATCGCACCGCAGCTCATGACGTCACACATGACCACGCGAGAGTGAACTCGATAAGTATTAAGTATGGGAAGCCGTTGGTATAAACCAATGGCTTCTGTTACCAATTATAGACATTTAAGAGTATTTGTGTAGATTTCATAGTTTATTTTGTTCAGGTTAGGTTTCAACTGTTTTATGTATATAGCTTCTGTAATTTTTATTTTTGTTTATTGTTTTATGTTTAAGTATGATTGTGTTTTCGACAAGGATTTTACGGAATTTTATTTATAAATCGTCGAGAAAACTCTCAATACATGTCGCCTGACGATTGCGTCTAGGATGAAACCGCCTGTCGCCTATAAGTGTTGAGTTCAATGTTCACTTTTATATTTACACACGTTCTATCTCTGATATTGAGCACTTTATCCCATAAATATAGCACACCTTCAGACTATACTTATTCATATATATATATATATATATATATATATATATATATATATATATATATATATATATACAGACATGACAAAATTGAATAACTGTTTATTTCATTAAACAAATAATTTATACAAATGAAATAATTATAAATGGACATAAATTTAATAACTAATACTTAGTTGACATCCCTTTTGCTTTTTTTAATGCAAGGACCCTTCTAAGCATTCTAGCAATGAGTTCATGAATATCATCTTGAGGGATTTCTTGCCATGTTTGACGCAATAATCCTAAAAGTTCTGGCTTAGAAGATGGCTTCCTGTTCTTTTTGCGGAGTTTTCGATCTAATATGCCCCAAAGGTGTTCAATAGGGTTAATATCCGGGGACTGACTTGGCCATGGAAGTTTATTGATCACATTTTGTCTCAACCAATTTTGTGTTGCTTGATCAGTGTGACATGGAGCTCCATCTTCCATAAATAGGGAGTCAATTTTGCTCATTCTACTCTTTGAGAATATTGGAAGGAGCCCTTTCTTTAATATAGAAACATATTTGGTTGAATTAATGTTTCCTTCACACTCCACAAGCTCTGAGTAACCATCACTCCAAATTGCACCCCATACCATTACTGAAAGGCTCCCATGTTTCACCGTTGGCTGCAGTATTTTTAAATCAAACTGTTGACTACAGAGTCTCCATACCCATACTATTCCACTGTCGGAAAACAATGTGAATCTTGACTCATCAGAGAAAATGACAGTGGTCCAAAAGGTCAATGGTCTCTCCACCATCTCATGAGCCCAATCCTTTCTGCGTTTGATATTGGCTGGCCGGAGAAGTGGTTTCCTTCTCGCAGCTCTGCCATAGTAGCCCAGCTTGTGAAGATACCTGACAGCTGTTCTGGGACTGACATCAACTTGTGTTGCTATGTCAGAGGCCTTGAAATGTGGATCCAGTTCAACAATTCTTTCGACAAGACGCATATTTCTTTCAGAGGGCCCAGGGCGGCCTGGATGAGGTTTTT